GATGGGCCGAGTGCAGCGGGCCAGGGGAGGGTTCGCTCGGGCCAGCGGGGCGGATCGGGTAATGGTGAACCGGCCAGGCTTTAATGGTCGAACTGGAGCTGGCTGGACCGAAGGCGGTCGAACCAAGGTTGGGTGGTCCTAAGCTGGTCGAATCGGGGCTGAGTGGACCGATGATGGTCGGGCCGGGGCGGGGTGGACCGATGAGGGACGAACCGAAGCTGGGTGGGCCGACAGCGGCCGAACCGGGGCTGGGTGAGCCGTAAATGGTCGAACCGGGGTGGGACGAACCGCAAGTAAACCACACCGGTTCGGGCTGACTTCGGATGGCCGACCAGTAGCCGAATGGCAAGCCCAGCTGGAGGGCTCGAGTGCACACGGGCCTCCGATCGTAGCAGCGGGAGATTCAGGGGGTCAACCCGAAGGTACAGAGACTATTCAGGCGAGGACGGGCATTAGGGGTGGGCAACGGGAAACGGGTATTTGGGTATACCCGTACCCGTCCCGTTTTTCTAAGGGTTATGGGTACCCATATTACCCATAATATTATAAACGGATGGGACTTGGGATTGAACATTCCTAATATGGGTACCCGCGAATACCCGTTTGGGTAATATGGGTACCCGTTATACCCATTCAATACAAATGCAGAAATTTAATTCAGACCAACCCAATTCAAAACCCATTGGCCATTTCGGCCCTTACCCTTTCAATTTCAATTCCATTTGGGCCCTTACCCTTTCACTCTTTCACTGACATGTTTGATGAATTTTTTTATTTATAATTTGATACTTGGAATGATTTATTTCTATGTGTTGTGATTGTTCATGAATGTGTAATTTGCAAACCAAGTATTTGTGATTGAGATGTATTTTGTGTCTTGTGATTGTTAAGCAAATACAAGTTAAGTTTAAACTTTTGTTAAAATTTTAGTGGTTTAAACTTTGGGTATTTATGGGTAGTATGGGTACCCGTTATCCGTCCCGTACGGGTAATGGGTACCCGTTTCCCATATGGATTTGAGATATGGGATGGACTTTGGTCTCCAAATGGGACTAGGTACCCGTTTAAAACGGGACGGGTATCCCGTCCCGTCCCATTGCCCACCCCTAACGGGCATGGCTGGGGTGCAGGTAGGGCTGGAAGTTTGGTACTGGTATTTGGGATATACCGAATACTGTACCGAATTTGTCTATATTTGGTATTACCGAATACACGTAATATATTGTGGGATTGAGATTGGGATTGAATTTCAATTGTTATTCGGTATTAGAGATTACGGGATTGGGATCGGTAATATACCGAAATACCGATCAATACCGAAATACAAGCTAGTGTGTATTTTATCCTCTCAACTAGACTCTCTCATTAACTACTACACGACCCTGAACCACCAAAAGTGTCATTTAATTATACATAGATCACTAAATCACTATTTCACACTAGTATTAGTCGTCTCTCAACCTCAAATTCGTCAAATTAAAGATTACCAATTACAAGAACTTGAGATGTTAGCTCTAGGCAACTCAAAACTATTTGCTTAATCTCTTTGCCCTAAATTAAACAATAAAATCTAATTTATATATTTAATTATTAATTGCAAAGGTAATTAATTATGTATTCGATAACACCGATTGGGATACCGAGGTACTTATTGGAATACAGAAAAAATTATTTAGGGATTGGGATTGAGATTGATTTTAGGGTGTAATTCGGTATTCGGGATTTTGGTATTTGGTATCGGGATACCGATACCGTACCGATTTCCACCCCTAGGTGCAGGAGGCGACGCGCACGGTCCTATTGGATATCACAGAGGATACCCTAGTGCTGGCAGGTACGATGGATATGATCGATATGATGATGAATACAGGTTGGTGTTTCGGGCCAAGCCCCCGACCATTGAGTTTCCAAAATTCAATGGTCAGGAAGACGCCGATTTATGGTTATATGCAGCTGACAGGTGGTTCAAGAATCACCCGACTCGGGAGGAAAGGAAGGCGCAACTGGCGTCCTTCTATCTGGAGGGAAAAGCCTTGCGCTGGTGGGAGTGGTTGGAGAGATCATATGCTGCCGCGCAGACACTGATTACCTGGCCGATATTTTAGGAGGAGTTTCGTTACCAATTCGGCAAATCAGATGGCTGCGCGCCGGAGCAGTTGGCCAAGCTCAGGCAGACCGGGTCAGTAATTGAGTACCGGGCAGAGTTCCTCAAACTGGGAAAGTGTAAGGGAGTTCAGGAAGAGACCCTGGTGGGAATGTGCATGGCAGGTCTAAAATAAGAGATTTCTGCGGCAGTCAAGATTTTTTAGCCCGATACCTTGCGAGCTGTTTTTTGTCTTGCAGGACATAAGGAGGAGGAGCTGGCAAGCTGGAGGAACGTCATAGGGCGCTATCCCAAGTCTGGAGGAGGGGGTCACGCAGGTGCGGGGGCAGCGGAAGTGGCAGTACAACTATTAATGCTAACAGCGGGGCTAGCACGGTACCGGGAGCAGCGGCCACGACAGCACGCCCTGGGCCGCGGGCCCCACCCAAGGGCTTTGTCAAGCTAAGCTCGGCATAGATAGAGCAAAAGAGAAGGGAAGGAAAATGCTTCAACTGTGATGAGCGGTTCACCATTGGGCATAAGTGTGCGAAGCCGGACTTGATGATGCTGGTGGGTAGATGGGAGGATGAGGCCGAGGAAGATGCGGCGGAAGGAAGGAATGAAGATCAGGTGGGGGGCTGACGACAAGGTTGATTCGAAGGAGGAAGGGATGATAGAAACTTGCAATTCTATTCTTTTAGCAATTTGACTTATCTGTTAGTTTCTGATTGTTTACGAGTTTATGGGGTATTTGGGGAATTTAATTGGGGGGTTTGATAAGTTGGGGTAGTTATAGGAAATTAGGAAATGATATTTAAACTATCTGCTACGTAGGAATAAATGTTAAGCAAAGATTAAACCTAATTGTTTTCTATCTTACTCCCTCTCACCTCTCTTGGCCGACCCCTTCCTTCCTCTCTCTCTCAATAGGCTGCCGCCAACCTTTCTTCCTCGTCCCACTGCCTCTCTTCTTCTTCCTCCTCCTCATACACGCACCACTAGAGCCACCACAAGGCTCTTCCACTCCATTTCCCCGCTCTTTCCCATCATTAGATAGAACCCGACGTTCGGGTTTCTATCATACTCTTCCACAGTTTCGCTTCACCCACTGCTACCATCCCATTTTCCAGCTGGAAGCTTTGTAACAATTTATGATACCCTTCCTTTACAGTATATAAGCCCTTATTGTCATGCCAAATTAGTTTGTCCACTTCATTGTTGCCACGGATAGGGATTTGCCGGATAGCCATAGCCACTTCCGACGGGAAGCATGCCTCCAGTAGCGTATCATCCCACGAGTTTGTCTCGTGGTCTATTAGTTCAAAACATATGCGTCCACTGGGAGACCAACTGGGGCCGACAGGACAAACTGATCATCCAAACCAGGTATCCATCGGTCCCCCCATATCTTGACATTCAGTCCATTACCTATCCTCCATCGTAGCCCGCTTGTGATAAGATTATGCGCACTAAGGAGGTTGCGCCAGACAAAACTCGGCCGCTACCCAATTTTTGCATCCAGACTAGAACTGCGCTTATGATATTCCGCTCCAAGATCTTCACAATCAACGAGTTTGGTCTTTGCATTAGATTCCAAAGTTGTTTGGTGAGGAGCGCCTCATTGAACCCCTTAAGATCTCGGAAACCCATTCCACCATCCCTCTTCCAGCTCAACATTTCTTCCCGTCGTAAACCGTGAGCTCTCCTTTCATCTCCCTTTTTACCCCACCAGTAGTTCATAATAAGGCTTTGGACTTCATCAATGATTTCATCCGGTACCATGAAGACTGACATAGCGTAGGAGAACTTGGCTTGTGCCACCGATTTGATCAAGACCTCCCGAGCAGCTACGAAAAGTGTGTGCTCCTTCCAGACGTTCAGTTTCTTCTGCAAACGAGCCTTGATCACCTCAAACAGTTCCTTTTTTGATCTCCCTACTTCAGTCGCTAGGCCCAGATGTTTGGTGTGTTTGCTTACACGAGTCATCCCAAGCACTCCCCCAATCTCTAGCTAATGATGAACGAAAACATCGACGCTAAATAAGGCATCAGATTTCTCAAAGCTAACTTTTTGTCACGAAGCAAACTTGTTGTCACAGTTTGTACCACATCGCCACCTACGATGTCCCAGTACTTTCGAAAAAAGAAAGCCGAGAGACCGTCATCCCCAGGCACCTTACGGCGCCCCATCTATTTAAGAGCACCTACAATTTCCTCCCTGTTGACCGGCCGAAGCAGCTGGTCATTATCGGCCCCACCAATTGTTCTTGGGATAGCGTCCAAGACTGGGGTAGACGTGGGAATGTTCCCTGCTGCAAACAACAGACCATAATAATTGTTAAAACAATCAAAGAGTTGGTCTGTTCTTGTATACCACCTGCCGAAATCATCCTACAATTTTCGTATCATGTTTCCCTGTCTTCGAGCTGAAGCTTTTTTTTTTTTTTTGAGAAATTTATGTTTTTATCCCCTCCTTTTTGCCAGTCCGATCGAGATCTTTGTTTCCAGTAACTTTCCTTGTTATTTTCAACTTCGGCCCGTTCATCCTCAAACTTCCATAAGACTAATGGAAAAATTGATGCGAGTCGAAAATAACCTCAAGCTTATATGGGGAGTGGTCCCTTTTCTGTAAGTGAAATTTTTTTTTTTCCATCGAACCAACAATAATTAAAATAAATATCCACTCCCATCCACCCCCACAATTTTTATAAAGCAAAATCCTTTCCCTCGTCCCACCGCTCTTTTCTTTATCAATTAATTTCCCAAATATATTCAATCGAACCTCTCTCTCTCTCTCCCCCTCTTAACCCTTCCCCTCGCCTGCCCTCGAGAATCTTCAATCCCTCGAATTTCTCCGCCCCTCTTTTTATTTAGCTCTTCCAATTCCTCTTTTCTCCCCTCCCTCAAATTTCTCAAACATGGAAGGACGAGTCCACTGCTGTTCCGGCGATTCCGCCACCACCACCACCTCCTCCACCGGCGAGAAGCGCAAGCACGGCGGCGGCGGCGGGGGCAGGACGCAGGCGGAGAAGCCGTACAGGGGGATAAGGATGAGGAAGTGGGGGAAGTGGGTCGCCGAGATTCGGGAGCCCAATAAGCGGTCCAGGATCTGGTTGGGCTCGTACTCCACCCCCGTCGCCGCCGCGCGGGCCTACGACACCGCTGTCTTCTACCTACGTGGGCCCACGGCCCGGCTTAACTTTCCCGACCTAATTCTCCAGGAGGACCAGCTCCGCGGCGACGACGTCTCCGCCGCCAGCATCCGCAGGAAGGCCACCGAGGTCGGCGCGAAAGTCGACGCCCTTCAGAGCTCTTCCGCCGCCGCGGCGGCGGTCCACCACCATACACCCACCTCGTCCTCCGGCGCCGAGGACAGCCACACCACCACCGCCTCCGCCGCCAGACCGCCGCCGCAGAAACCGGATTTGAACGAGTACCCTAATCCTGAAAATTCCGACGACGAGGAGGATTAAGGCGGTGAATTCGGTAGCAGCGGAAGATGAGCTTTTCTTTAACTGTCCATAATTTCCCACTTTGCCCCTTTGTTTAATTCTCTATATCGCTTGTTGTTTCTTTTTTTTTTTTTTTCATTACTTACATATACAGTAGTTTTTATTTTTCTTGTTTTCGTTTTTGGGTTTGATGATATATCTTTTTGGGTAGCCTCCGGCGGCCGGAGGAAGGGATTTTGGCGGCCGGAGGAAGGGAAATCAAGAGGAGAAGAGGGGGATTGTTGTTTAGGTTTGCGGTGGAGAAAGGGGAGGAATGGAATCAAAAACAGGGGTTCTGTTTCTCTGTGTTTTACATAAGATGTAATAGCAACATAGTACAGAGTAAGTAGCTTAGATGAAGAAGAAGAAGAAGGAGAAAAAAAAAAATGTAGCCTAGCTTACTCTTCAATTTCTCCTCCTTTTAGTAAAATTTGCAGTCCATTTTCCGATTAGTGGTTTGGATTTCTGTTTATTGCTAGAAAATGAATTGTTTCCTTGAATTCGTCCCTCGAATCGCTGCTAAATAAAATAGTTTGGCATCATATGGCAAATGGGCATGAATCCAAACAAATTTTTGTTTCGAGAAACCTGAGGCTTCATATATTTTAGTTAATTTGAGGGCACTTGTCCTCAATTGTAGTGAAGGGAAATGGGATTTTGAAAATCCTCTAAAGATTCGAGTTTGTGTTGGCTTAAAGAGAGGATTTAACAAACACCGTTGATATATATCCTTTCAGAGGGAAATGACCGAACAGGACTTCTCCTCTTGGTCGGTCGGGTTCCTTGGGTTTGGGAGGATGAGACAAATCCTAACTACCGCTTAGGTGATTATGGAGTTCGGGTATTAGGTAAGGATCGAAAATTGGTACGTGGTATTTAGCAGTTTAGCATAGAATGTATTTAGCGATTATTAGATGATTTGTGGCGTCTGATGTATCTTTTCTAAAATCTTAATTTACTCGAATATTTACACAGGAAGTATAAGGATCTGAATGACCGACATACTATTACTCGTACTACACATCCTTTAGAATTTATTAGTTGGGTGGATATTGATCACCAATGCAGAGAGAGGGGAATGAAAGAATGAAGAGACAAAGGAGAGGAAAGCTAAGATAAGGAGATAAGATAGCGGCCGTGGGGAGGATGAGAGGAGTTGGGCTTCCTTGCTTGGGACAGCGAAGCACAGCACACCCTGGCATGAAAATATATTAGAGAATAGTACGGAGTTGGAAGAAAGTTCAGGCAATGAAAAGAAACGTTTCAATTGATAGTCAAACCGGGTTCAATTGATCGATGATCGGTTGGAATGTCATTGGTTATAAAAGTAATAGTCAAAATCGATTTATGTTTGTTAATCTATATAAAAAAGGTTAATACCTTATTTTGGTCCGAACTATAACCATAAAATCAACTTTGGCATGTGGTTTCAGAAATTAACATCATGTCATCAACTATACAGCATATAGACTCAATTGGCCCGACTCAATTGGCCCGACACATGGTTAGACCGTCAATTTGGACGGTCAATACCGTTGACCGTTAGTCAACACGCCATGTCATTGCCTTGTCAGCCTAAAAATCATTAAAAAAAAATTCAAATTCAATTTTTTTTTTTTTTTTGATGGTTAATCAAAATTGCATTGAAAGCCCAGGGAGATGCAACTCGCATCACCCTCTCAAAAGATCAACATTCTTTACACAGTAAACCTATACTAATCTCTATGCCAACCAAAAGAAACCAAAACCCTTTCAGCTCATTACAACTGATGCCATTTTCTGTAATTCTATAGTACTACTAGCATATATCTCGAACTCCTGCATAACAGCAACTGAAAGTTGAGAAGGGTCTGAAATTCGCTTGACTCCATAGACGCGAGTGCACCTTTCCCTCCAAATGTAAGCACAGCACATCACCCACAATAACCGCCCAATCTTAGCAGCCGAAGTTGTACCCGACCATCTCTGCACCACCCAGCTCAGATGGGAACTCCAATCTGTGAAATCCGGCCACCTGCATATTTCCTTCAACACAACTTGAAAGACAGCTTTACTAAACGAACACAAGGAAAACAGATGATCCCTGCTTTCAAGTCCACCAGGGCATAAAACACAGCTATTCACATCTGTCAAGCCCCAGCTAGCAAGGTGATCCTTCGTAGTAATTCTATCTAGAACCACCAACCAGACCAACAGACTGTGCTTCATTATAAATGGCTTACCCCATAACACAGAGAACCAGTCAACTGAAGGGGAGGGGATACGTATGGAATTCCAAACAGTCTTAACTGAATACTTCACCAACTTCTTTCTATCCCAAGTCAGGCTACTTCCTGTCCCATTCACATGAGCATGGGCCACTTCCCTGCATTTAAGGACCTTCTTCCACACCCATGAGCTTACAGAGTTTGCAGCAATCCCCCATAAATCATTCCCTTTGATCCTATACTTCTGGATCCAAGCAACCCATAGTGAACCAGCCTTAGCAAGCAAATTCCACAAATGCCTTAAAACACATGCCTTGTTCCATGTTTTGAAGTCCCTGATCCCTAATCCACCCTCCATTTTAGGCATAGCAACCCTGGACCAGGACACTGGTGCTCTCTTGCGCCCATTCACTCCAACCCCCCACAAGAATTTGTTACACACATCCTCAATAGACTTCAAGACTCGCATTGGCAAGAGGAAAACCGCCATCCAATACTGAAATACACTGGTAATAACCGAAGAAACTAATTGAATCCGCCCTGCATAGCTAAGGGTTTTAGCTTGCCAGGTCGTAATCCTCTTAGTAATCTTGTTCACCAATGTACTACAATCCTGAGCTGACAGTCTACCTGATAGGAGAGGCACCCCAAGATATCTCACTGGTAGCTCTCCTAGAGGGAAACCAGTAATATTTGAAATCCACTGCTGCTCTTCCTTAGAGATACCCGCACAGAACAGTTGACACTTGGCCAAGTTACATCTCAACCCAGAAACATGATAAAACTTGTCAAGCAACCTCTGCACCCCTGCAACTGCCCTGACTGATCCATTGGAGAAAACCAGCAAATCATCCGCAAAGCATAGGTGGGTGAGCTCAAGACTCTTACACCTTGGATGATATGGAATGAGGTTTTGTGACACATCCCTAGCAAGCATACATGAGAAAATTTCCATGGCAATAGTGAAAAGGTAGGAGGACAGTGGATCCCCCTGCCTTAACCCCTTGCCTGCTGGGAAATACCCACATAACCCCCCATTAAACGCCACACTCAGCATGGGAGTGGTGACACAAGCCCTAATTAACCTGATAAAACTCATAGGAATATTCATAGCCTCCATAACTTTCAATAGAAAATTCCAATCTACTGAATCAAACGCTTTCATCAAGTCAATCTTCAACACACATCTAGATGAGATTGAGGCCCTATGATAATCCTTAACAAGCTCTGTAGCCATTAGGATATTATCACTGATCAATCGACCCTTAACAAAAGCAGATTGACTAACTCCAATTAGCTTAGGTAACACTAAGGAGAGCCTATTAGCTAACAGCTTAGATATTCCCTTATAGACCACATTACAACAAGAAATTGGCCTAAAATCTTTCATTTTATCCACCACTTCAAGCTTAGGAATCAAAGCAATAATGGTAGAATTTACCTGCCGAGGCATTATACCAGTCTGAAAGAAACTGAGGACTGTATCTTCCACTGCTTCACCTACAACCCCCCAATCCAATTTGAAAAACTCAGCAGTAAACCCATCTGGACCCGGTGCCTTATCATTCCCCATCCCCATAAAGACAGCCTTAATCTCTTCTCTGGTAACAGGAACCAACAGAGTCTGAACATCAGCCTCCCCAAGCTTGTGATGAAGAAGACTTTCAAAGTATGATAAAGGCATGTCCTGCACTGCAGAATCAGCCTGACCAAGCAACCCCTTGTAAAAATCAACAGCTAACTGCCCCATCGCCTTCACCTCTGTAATCACCTCCCCTTCCTCAGACACAAGTTTGTGAATAGTCTGTCTATGATTCCTGACTTTTACCATACTGTGGAAATACTTAGTATTTGAATCTCCCTCAGTGATCCGTCTTATTCTCGATTTCTGCCTATAAAACTGTTCCTCCGCCTTCTGCAACCCTCTACAAACCTCCTCCTGGTCCACTACGGCATTAGCAAGGTCAGTAGAAGGATCAGCCAACACTGCTTGTTGCATTGCCTCCAACTTAGCCTCTGCTTCAAATTATTTTTCTAATTTCTATTATTTATCATTTTCAAATTAATCAAAAAATAAAATATTAAAAAAATTGACAGTCAAACTCTGTGTCGGGCCAATTGAGTCTATATGTTACATAATTGAGTCCAAGATGTTAATGTACGAAACAACGTGCCAAACTTGATTATATGGTATAGTTCATGCCAAAATAAGGTATTAACCCATCAAATAAAGCTAATGATCTAATCGGTATGTTCAATTTTCTTCTCATAAACAAAATAACGTCTTTTTGGTGCATTTGATTAACAAAACGATATATTTGAATACGAAGATTTTTTGTTCATTACTCTTGCTATTAACATTAGTTTATTTGATTGATTCAAGTATTTATATTTTGATATCGACCATCAATGTTTTTAGCTTTGTATTTTATTTAAATACGAATGTAAAATTATAGGAGATCATTTTGAAATAATTTATCTGTATACGTGATTTATTTTCTTTTAATAATTTTCTAATTTTTTTTATATATTTTGTAAAATGAACATAAAATCATAAACCAATTATCTCATAATCGAATCACTTCACTTGTTAAATCGACTTAAATAGTATAAACCGATTCGACAACGTTGTAACTCTGTCTTCTGTATTCGTGGACAGTGGACACCACCACCATGCGCTTCCCATTTCATATACCCACACACTCACTTATCTTTGAGGGATCCGCCAAAAGAACTGTGATGATGATGTGATTAATCTATTTATTAGGTATATCT